GAGAGACAGATATATCTTTATAATATATTTTAAATATACAATTCACAACTTCGCTTATCGGCGTAATTGCCGATTGCTTATAATAATATAAGAGCAAAATTATCGACGAGAAATTTTTCAAATATTCCCTGACTTCCAATAAAATTCCATGAGAATTCCCTGATTTTTCATAAAAGAAATCCTTGAAAATTCCAGGTTTTGCTTTTTCCACAAAAAAAATTCTTGGAAATTCCAGATTTTCCATGTTTTTCAAGGGAGTAGACACCCTGTTATATTAAAAATTATCAATACATGAAGAGTTTACAATGACTGTAAGTTTTTATGTTTTTACAATGATTGGGGATTTCTATTTTTGATATATAGCCATTATCGTACCTGGCTACTAGTATGAGGGCTGATGGAAGAACCGATGTCAAGCTTTTCCATGACAGATCCAGATATACTGGCAAATTGTTCCCTTTGATAGTTAAACTGTAGTGATAATGTAACACATTCCAAATTTAAAATATTACAACAAATACAAGCTCGCAAGCAAAGCGGGACGCCATATCGCGCGTATCAGTATACGTTATTTGTCAGTTGTCGGGTGTGACAGCTCGCGAAACTCTGCGCCGCGGCGGAGAAAGTTTCTGTTTGGCGCAACAAATAAATTCAGCGACGAAGACGCGAAAAAACACACGCACGCACGCCAGATGCACTTCTACATTCATTTCTATCACTCGCATTCCGCCGCCTATTGTTCAAAGATTTCTATTGTTTTGTTTACAAGGGTATATATAAAAAAAAAAAAAAAAAAAAAAAAAAAAATGCACAAAACTGGATTCTTATTCTTATTATATAATATAAAAGTTTGTGTAAAGTGTCAAATTTGCAATGCAGAAATGAAATAAATGACATTAATCGTTTTACAATATGCACGATACACATTCTTACATCTTACATCTATTATCAACTTATGCTCTTACTTAAATAATAATTTTGTAATAATTATAGTTAACTGAATTAATTCTATATTAAATTGTTACTTCAGAATGTTGAGCTGGTTCTGTACACATGACAGGTAGAGCCGTAAGCAAGGTATGTATATCCGCTGTACGAAAACTTTCCATATCAATTTCTGCCAGATTAGCATCCAAATTACGAGCAAGATCATCATAATAACCTAGATCCTTGGAGGAATAGGACACAGAAAGTGATGAAATAACACTAGGATGGATATGTAGTCCTCCATCTCTATATCTATAAATTATATAAATAAATAAATAAATAAATATATATATATATATATATATATATATTTAAGGATACAGTAATATCAAGATAGATACAAGAGTGCTAAATTAATTACCCATAATCGATAAACCATTGATATTCAACATTGTCCTGAACAAATTCCGAGCCAACCAAATCCTGCTGGATGGAATCAGTCGCTGGATTAGAGTTACAATCAGATCCTGGAGTTTGTGGCTCTTCCATTACTGCTATGCCTTCTTGTGCAACTGGGAAAAGAAAAACTGGGCTATCATGTATATCTTAAGAAAAATATGTATTTATATAATCATACACGCATGAACAAGTGTAAAAATAAATATAGCATTTTTATATTCGTGTAATAAAATATCAAATGTCAAATAAAATATCATAATGATGTAGTTAATAAATATGCATAATGTAGTTTTCATTTGCTATATAAAATGTTTGATTGAATTGGCAAAATATAAAGCGACATTCGTCAAATGTGCGAGAAAAGTCCGTTTAAGGAATGACTTACGAAGAATTGTTTATATTACAGTTTTCATCAACAACATAATAATGCGACGAAAACTTGTCGAAGAACCCGCATCGTAACAAATCTCGGCAACTCGTTTCGTATCATAAAAGTTGAAGAAAAATACCCCAAATAGCCCATCACAATTTCGTAATACTCTCACGAAATGCTTGTCTGTTTTTCTTTCTTTTTTTTCTCTCTTATCAGAGTTAGATTCCAAAACGGTGTGAAATTTCCTCTCCGAGGAAAATTTTACTCGGTCGCCGGCCTGGAATCAATCAGAAACGCTCAAAAAAGTTTCGGAACGGTCATCGAGTAAAATTTTCTTCGGAGAGGACATTTTTTGAAACGTAACCCAATTTCTTCTTCTTCTTCTTCTTCTTCTTCTTCTTCCTTTTTTTTATGGTCATATTCGATCCAAGCGGGAGATTAACCCAATTTCGAAAGAGTACAAGTACAATTTTACTTAACGTTCGTCGACGTTGTCCGACGGATGCGGTGATTGGCTATCAGATAGAGAATTCTTAGAATCTCTACAGAGACTCTAGAAATTATCTTTCGATAGCCAATCACCGCATTCGTCAATGTCGACAAACTTCAAATAAAATCGCACCCGAAGTTCATTATTGTATTCGTCATTCGACGAGCTTTGTCGGATACCTATATCGATTGACTGTCATAGGATGTTTTCCAGCAAGGTACACAGATGACACAGTGTAACACACAGTATCACACGATTGGCTATCAAATACAGAATTTTAAATTTCTTCATCTGATAGCCAATCATGTGGTATTGTGTGTTACACTATGTCATCTGTGTACCTTGCTGGAAAACACCCATAGCAAGAAACTTTCGAAATCTTAGAAATTCTCTATTCAATAACCAATAAGTTATTTCCCGCACAGTGCGGGAAAAAATATAATTTACAATTCCAACAGAATAATTTAAGATTAAATTACACAGACACATACATAAATATATATATATA